ATCAATTTAATTATTTGTTGCTGATTTTCATAATATTTCCATGATTGTCCGATTCTAATTTGTTTCCATAATTAGCCCAATTTGATTGAAGAAATTACAGATTGTGTTGGCTGTCAACTTGTGTTGATATTCGGTTTTTATTGCAGGATAATTGTGTTGATTTTATGTGATAATATTTTGGTCAAATATTTATCACAATTAATTCTTGATTATTCTGATTTCGTTTTAGGATTTTCCGGAGCAATTTTGGATCTAATTAGAATTATAATTGATTACAATTTAATTAACATATCACAAGTTGTTTATCTTGAGTGCTTTGATAGTTACAGAATTCAGGTAATCTGTTCAAATAACAAGCTAGCTGTCTGTCCCCATATTGCGAAGGATTTCGAGTATGTTCACACGATGATAGTTGGAATCTCAGGAAGACTTAAATCAGAAGATTTTGTGCGACCGAAATTCATTTTAATAAGGAGATCACAATCAAATCTCAACCTAGATTAAGTGGAGAGATTCTAGACCTCTCTGATATTCAGGAATTTCATTATTTAAGGATGTCACCTTGTGACTTTCACTTTAGAGAGCATGGATTGAAAAATTATGTATTCATTGAGTGAGAAAAATTAAGTATTCTCATTTTTTGTTTGAGCATAAGAGTAAACCAGAGTTTTTCTTAGGCTTTATTTGTAACTGTCAAAGCCTGTACTCTGTGGACTTTGGGAGATTAACCGAAGGCAGATTGTGGCACTAGGAGTAAGTCAGGAGGATTGAAGGCGAGCATTGTGCTTGGAGTAGGTCAGGAGGACTGAAGGCGAACAAAAGACTTGAAATAAGGTGAGGAGTCTGGAGGCGAGTCAAGAGGAATCGTCGTGAGTTGGAGTTGGTATAGACTCAGGAGGTTCTTATAAGTCCAAGCTTTGTAACAGCATTTGGTGATAGTGGAAATCTCTTTTGTGCTGTGTATTCAACACACGTAGTTTTTTTCCACAATTTTTTTCTTTACACAGCATTCTCGGTTTTAGTTTAAACAGGACTAAGTTAACTGTTCTCTGCACACATAACATCATTATTGTGTCTATTAGGTCTTCAACCTTTTTTCTTTTTTGCTTCCTCTTTCCCCTTTTTTATTTTTTTATTTTTTTCCCCTTACTTCTTTCTTCCTCCTTTTTTTTCCCTCTACAATACATATTTTGTCCTTTCTCAAATGAGACCCTCATAAATTTTTTTCCCCTCTAATTGTCCTGTTGAAATAATTTCTTCTCATATATGTCCTGATCAAAACTTTTTTTTTTTTACGAAACGACCCTCTCAAATACTTTTTTTTTTTTAATATATATACCTTTTTTTTTTGCTTTTTTTCCTCTCGCTTCTTTCTTGCCCCCTTTTTTTCCCTCTACAATACATCTTTTTTTTCCCTTTCTCAAATGTGACCTTCGTAAATATCTTTTTCCTCTAATTGTCACATAGAAATAATTTCTTCTCATATATGTCCTAATCAAAACTTTTTTACAAAGTGACCCTCTCAAATACATTTTTTACTATATATGTCCAATAAATAATCTTTAATATCATGTTCTCAAATGTGTCTTTACATAAATATTTATGTGGAATTTTTCTAAATACATTTCTTTCATGTGTACTACTAAATAATTGTTTTCCTCATTCACCCCATTAAAAACTTTTTTCCTTTTAATGCTACTCTATTTATTTATTTTTTTTTTGCTTAATTTAATTTTTAAGAAAACAATTATAAAAAACATGAACTATAAAATTTTCAAACAAATTAGAACCTTCATATCGGGAAAAGAAAAAAAAGAAAAATATTGAATATACACGGACAAAGCGTGTGTTTACAACTAGTATTATACTAAATAGGGACAACCACTGGCGTTTTCTGCTTTTTATCAGTCATATTCGTATAAAAATCTATCTGTTCTGCATATTTTTTTCAATCTGATGTGATTTAAACAAGATCTAACGGTTAAAAAAACGAAAAACACCCGTGTTCCTAAAAATAAGAGAACACCGGAGAAACTCCCAACTAAATAACTAATTAGGGACTCATCATTTTCTTAGATATTCTTTTTCCCTCCTAACTTATCCATCTTTCCTCTCTTTATTCTTACAAATCATACCCTAACTAACAGCCAAATAAAACAGCGAAAGAGGGGAAAAAAGCTAGTGAAGAATTTTATTTTCCTCCCAAGTTCCCTCCCGTAATATGTGTTATTATTAAATCAATAATTACTACAAGTCAATATCATAAATCACCAGAAGTTATTGTAATAATCAATCATACAAAAGATGGTTGTCTATGACACATACTTGTCTCATTTTCACTCATAATATTCACTTTTATAAATCTAATTACTCTTACGATTTAAAATGACAATTTTGGCACTTTTATCAATATATAAGCTGTTATTTTTAGATAAATTAGCATGAGTATGACAAGTGAGGGTTTTAAGAAGCATGAAATGGGTTTAAAAAAATCAGTTGATTTAAAAGAATTATTTTTGAAGAAAAATAAGCAGATGGAGACTAGGTGACACAATCATATGCTGCATTTGGTTTATTGGTTCCGCCACGTACGTTTAGTCAGTTTGAGCAGCTCAAAAATTAAAGCCATTTATTTGAATCGAATGCCCAATTTAGGAGTTATTTAGTATTTTCTCTCATAAAAAATACACGTAAATTAAAAATAATTCTAATCTTATGATTCTAATCTATTAACCAAACGTCTATTTAATTTAAGCTGAACAGCTCCAAAGAGAGTTATTGATAAAAGTGCATTTACAAAAGAAATTATTCACGTGGATGCGTATGAAATAACTTCTGAAAAGGAAACTACGCAATCCCCAACGTTTTTTTTTCTTCTCTTTTATTTTTTTCTTTTATTATTATTATTTTTTTTTGTTTCAACAATACTCCTGGAATATGTGCGTGACATTTATACTCACATGCAATAACAAAAAAAAAACCTTTTATTTATTTATTTATCATTTTTTTTTTTTTTTGCTTTCAAATTTTCTCTTATGGATCCCTATAGAAAACTTTGTTTACCGCAGAAGCTAAAGCCAATTTGTCGTTTGAAGTTGCTGTCCTTTTGGTCCAAAAGAGAGTTATTTGTTTTTTTTATTTATTATTATTATTATTATTATTATTTTCTATGCCACAAATGCGGTCCAATGCAATGTATATATGTTAATACAATGGATTCTCATCGGTCCTCCTGAATTACGGGTCAATTTTAATTTACTTTTTAAATTTTAAAAACTCTTATTTTGTCTTTTAAATTTTAAATTATTTTTATTTAACTCTTTTTGTTATAATTTCTATTAAAATTAAATGAAAAAAAAAAGAGTTAAGTGTGGTCATATGATTTTTATCTGTTTCTTTTTAACAGAAATCCAAACGGATTAACTACGTGACTAAGTTATTCTATTTTTTCTATTTATTTTTAACAAAAATTGTAACAAAAAAGGTTAAGTAAAAACAATTCAAAGTTCAGAGACAAAATGAGAGTTTTTAAAATTTAAAAAATAAACAATAAATGACCCAAAATTTTAAAAATTCTTATTTTATCTTTTAAATTTTAAATTATTTTTATTTAACTCTTTTTGTTATAATTTCTATTAAAATTAAATGAAAAAAAAAGAGTTAAGTGTGGTCATATGATTTTTATCTGTTTCTTTTTAACAGAAATCCAAACGGATTAACTACGTGACTAAGTTATTCTATTTTTTCTATTTATTTTTAACAAAAATTGTAACAAAAAAGGTTAAGTAAAAACAATTCAAAGTTCAGAGACAAAATGAGAGTTTTTAAAATTTAAAAAATAAACAATAAATGACCCAAAAGATTAGAAATCATCAATGATAATAATCTTAATATAATTATTTTTGTTTAATTTTTTTATTTTTTATTTTTTTATAATTGTTTTGTTCACCTTATTGTCAATTACAATATGATTACTATTAGGACTTTGTTGGCTAATGTGTTATAGTTTTCATCACTAATTTGAACCACAGTTCTAATACCTTATCTAAACACTAATGGAAACTTTTTTCCTATTCGAATTATAAGTTCTACTGCACATCTAAACAACAATTCAAACGGTTGTTTAAACCATATTGTTTGAATTTTTTTGTTCAATTAAAAAAAACTCAAATCAACACAATTTAAACTAACGAACTAAAGGGGTAGTTAATTTATTTTAGATATATATTTTTTTCAAATCTATTTGTTTTTATTTATCGCTTTTATCTCTCTTGAAACTCACGTATACGAATCTTTAGTTTAGATTTTTTTTTTTTCCTTCCAATGAACAACTTATTAATAGAGGGGTTAAAATTGTATACTTCACAAACGTTTGGGTAATTAGTCCTCTAAAAATAGAATACGAGGGCCAAAATGCAACTAGTCTATATTCTGTAGTCCCAATAGTAAAATAAACCCAAAATAAAAATAAATTATTTACCTATAAAAAATCTTTTATTCATTTTAAGTATATATTATATATTTTACTTTTATTTGGACGTCATATGGCTTGCCGGAGTGGTTATTGGGCATGACTAGAAATCCTGTGCGCAGGTTCGAATCCGGCCGACGCTCACGACTTTTTGCGTCTTTTTTTTTTTTTTTTTTTTTTTTTCTTTTGGTCAAAAGATAACTATCTCCTCGCATTTCATGGTAAGGTATGATCGGTTAGTATTTTTCCTTTGATTCTCTCCCTCTTCATCGTCTCACATTTCATGGAGAGTGTAGGAAAAGTAAATTGGTTTGAAATTAACCGATTCAAAAAAAAAAAAAAAAAAAAAGAAGAAGAAGAAGTAAGAGCGAGAGAGTGTTGTTTATGAAAGAGTTACTTTCTAGGTTAGGTATTATGTCATAATAATTGAAAATGTAAAAATAATTGACTAATTGCAAGTTTGAACTAGATACCAATTTATAGCGAAAACAAACATTGGAAATAGTGGATTTATTTATTTGTACTTGCAGCAAAGGATAAGATAAGATGGGAAGAAAATAAGTAGCAAATGAAAGCAGCCCATTTAATTTTTTTTTTTTTTTTTTAACTGATATTCTTACATAAAGCTCAAGCTTTTCATAATTATACACGAAACCCAGATCATGAAGATACAAACACTTTGCCATGTGAATTGCACTGGTAACTGTAACAAACTCCCTACCCTCAGAAAGTGATCTGGATTAAAACAAGCTCCATATTGTTCCTATCAGTTTGTGGTCTTGAGAAATATACCAAGCAAAATATAGCGTGGCTGCCAAACACTGAAGTCCATGATGCAAGTAATATTATGGCAGGGAAACTCCGGTTTTGAATTCTCAAATTCTCACAAGATGAGAAGAAAAAATAAAAACAATCAGCTAACTGGCTATCTCTTTCCAAATCTCAAGCACTTGTTGTGTTTGACTTCTGTGATACTTGTGTTAGTAGTGAGCTGCTTCTTCATCTGTTTTGCGAGTGAGTGTTTCTCCATTGCATTTACGAACTTCCGCAAGTGCTTAATGTACTCGGGATAAGTTTCGAGGTTGCAGTGACCCCCACCCTTGACCCACAAGGGATCGTATTTTTCTTTGGCTAGTTCCCACAGACGCTTTCCATGGGACCAATCAACAATGTCGTCATTCGTTCCCTGCAAATGATGCAGTGAAAAGTATCCATCACTAAGAGCATGATTGAAAGAAAAATCTTTCATGTCAATAATGGAAGATAGTGGCAAATGAAAATCAAGTATAATGGCGAAAATATAGGCGTTGATTGAAGCCTTTTTCTTGTCCAACTAGTTATGTTATTATATATCTTTTATAACAGTATAGACACACTGAAGCAGTTGGTAATATCTGAAGACATTGTCCGAAGAGTTCTTTTCAGAATACAAACCAAAAACCCAAGCCACACGTCTAGTAAATAGTTCTAAAACAACCTTTCAACCAACTAGAGGATAATTTGCTATTCTAATACATTTTTAATTCTATTAACAGCTAGTCCAAAACCACTTTCTTAAAAAGTTCTCTCTTCTTCCCTCAAAAAAAAAAAAAAAACAAAAAGAGGTTGTCTCTTCTCTTTGGCATTTTCAATTTGCCCGAAGGTTTCTTAAGGAAGTATGCCTTATTAGGTTTTTGGGAAAATGGTTGGCCTTGAGTTGCTCATGGGTATATTTATTGACTCCCATGGAAATGGAGCTGCTTCTAGATAACAGTTACAATTTAAATCTAATATGTAGCAAATCAAAACATAGCATGAGGAAACAAAACTGAAAAGAAAACACCAGCACGCCAAATTATGCAGCACATTAGCATACATGATTGAAGGAAAAAGGTACTTACGTGTATAACTAAAACTGGACAGTTGACTTTTGGTATTTTGTCTATATTCTGAAAACACAAAAAAAGATGTCAATATAAAACTAACCAATAAAATGCAGTAAAAGGATGAATAAGAGATCAAAACCAGCCTACTAGAAACTTACTTTGAAAATGTCGAACCAAAATGTCATCTTGACAGGATACAAGACCCGAATACCCGAAAGGATGGCACTGTGAAGAACTACTCCTCTCAACTTCGGTAACCGAGAAGCCAAGTGCAAAGTTGGTCCACTTCCAACAGATTGACCATACAGAATCAAGTCCTCTTGCCTAATTCCATACTCATTCTTCAAGCAAGTATACACAGCCTCGATGTCGTAGTATGTGTTGAATTCGGATGGCTATTGCAGAAAGAAAAATTAAGCCCATGTTTAAGATAATATAGGCTTAAAGAGATAGTTAAATCAATAAAGAGCAGAGGGAAATGAAATTATCACTACCAATCCCATGTGCTCCTTTTTCTTCTTTTTATCACTTTAACTACAAATCAAAAAGAAACTTCCAATGCGGAGCTTCATATGCTACTTACCTTGCCAGTGGATGCTCCATATCCTGAATAATCATAGCTGCAATACAGAAAAATATATGGAGTACGCCTTAGGAAAGCAAAAGTTATCATTAAACCATATATAGCAGCCTATCCAACAAAATCTGGTGACTATTAAAAACCGCAACAGAAGGATAGGATACTCTGTCTTTTACTTATTGTCTAATTAAGTACCTTTTTCGGCCTTTTGGCTTAAGATTAAGTGCAGTTTCTGTTCTCATCAGTTATGGTCTAATTAAGCATTTTAGAATTTCTATTCCCACAATACATCCCAAGTGCATGACCTATGAACTCCTGCACAATATCCTACTATAACCAAAAATATATATGTAAACTAAAAATAATAAATAATAAAAAAAAGCAACAGACAAATTTGAGGGTGTCTTCATTGAACAATTACGAATTGGAATGGATAAAAATATTAGACCAGCAACATTTAAGAAGAGTAGGACATACTCATAAATGTCTTTCCCCACAAGACCCTGTTACAGCTAATACGTCAGTGTTGATATCAACAAGATCCTAACATCAACCTTCTTTTTAATTTTTTTTTTTTTTTTTTTTGGTTTTCTGGGGTCCAATCTTAACTTATATCCTAAAATAACAAGCTTGTAAAAATCATGAGACCGGCGGAAAACTATTAAAAAAAAATAGCATTTACCCAACAACTCTAAAACAAAATAAATAATGGCCTCTTCAGACGTAAGCTTCCAAATCGTATAAAATATTCAAGTAAAAAAATAAAGAAGAATAAAATGGAACAAAACACGTAAGAAACGATCACACGTTTCTCAGGAACAAAAATCATCCAGAACATGTAGAAATTGCTCTACATAATAGAACAACCAAAAGAAAAGAAAAAAGCTCTAAAACTACTACATCAAACCAAGGTAGAAGATAGCAAAAGTTAAAAACTACACAATGCGTCGATAAGTGATGACCATAATCATAAGTTCCAAATTGGGAATTGAGGGGGTGGGGGGGCGGGAAACAGCAAAAATAAACAAAATCACCTATCAAACACGACTGAATCAAACCAAAAGGGAAAATAAAAGAGTTAAAACAACATAAGCCCGAGAATAAAAACCAAAATTTCTAAAGCGGGCATCTTATATATTGTTATTAAAACAAGCAAACAAAAAGGAACAAAAAACACTAACAAAGAGGTGAAAAAAATTACCCAACAAAAAACGCATTAACCAAAACACAAACCAACTTTAAAAAAAAAAAAAAAAAAAAAAAAAAAACTAATGCAGGAACACCAAAACAAAGAAAAATTACTCCCAAAAACAATAAGAGAGACACCAAAAAGCAATCGAGAAACGAAAAACAGATTAACCAAAACACAAACCAGCTCAAAAATAATTCAAAAAAAATAGCAATAACACCAAAATAAATAGATTTTACTCAGCAAAAACAAAACAAAACAAAAGATGAAAAAAGAGATTGATTAACCAAAGAAATACCTCACGATATTGAGACGTAAATGAGCCCTGAGCTCGATGAAGAGGTCATGCATCTGACCCAAGTCAGCGGCGTTGCCATGGGAGTAGAGAAGAGTGAACCTGGCAAAAGGGTGCTTCCAAAACGTGGCGACAATCTTGTTCCCTCCCTTTGTGTCGAGCAAATGGACGTCCACGTTCTTGTCGGCCGTCAAGCCGGAGAACAATAGCCTTCCATCCTCTTCCCGGAACACGTCGTACGTCGGTGGGTCCGGCGGGAAGAACGCGAATTTCGCTGCCACGCTCGCCGTCACATTGCCCATTTTTTTCCTCTCTTTTTTTTAGTAACAAGGAAGAAAACCCAGATGGCGAACACCAGATAATGCCACAATCTTAAATGGGTCAGGCATCAAAGATTTTATTTCTTATTCTTCTTCTTGTTTTTTTGGTTTGCTGGTTTCTCTCCGTTTTTTCTCTGTTTTGGTCGTTTGGTTTTTTCCCCTTTTTTTTTTTTTTTTTTTTTCCTTTGTTCAGGCAGCGGATTTTGACGGAATTGAAGACATGGGCCTTTTCTCTTTCTTTTTATTTGTTTTATTTTTTATTTTTTAGTTTTCAGTTTTGTTTGGTGGAATTTTTGGGTTGTGTGGAGTTTTTAGTTATGGGGGTGATGGAAAGGCAAACCAGGTGGCGTCAGATGAAATTAAAGGGCAAAAGTTGGGGGAAGGGGTGGGTGGCAGAACATAGATCCGATCTAAGCGGATGAGCTGGAGAAGAACTATGCCACCAGAATCTTAAGAATTTGCATATATAAAACACCCGCATAGGTAAATAAATAAACATACACGATTTATTGTCTTCGTAACAAAAAAGTATTTCTTTTTCCAAAAATTCTTTAATAAGGTAAAAAAAAAAATGGTCCATTGAATTTGATGAATAGTTAAATTTTTATTAAATTCGATTAAGTTGTATCTTACCGATGAGAATTTCCATGTAAAAATATTTGGTTAGTACCATTTTTTTTTTTTTTTTTGTCTATGTTTTACGTACCCTTGCTAATTATTTGATTTTTTTTTTTTTTTTTTGTCTATGTTTTACGTACCCTTGCTAATTATTTGAGTTTGGCGGGTAGATTGTGGAGTAAAATGGGAGATTTTTCGTTTTGGGAATGAAACTTGCTTCAATAAAGTGCAATTTTGATATTTGGTTTGTTGATATTGTGCGAATGAGTTATTTGGGTGTCTCCATTATCCAAAACAAGGGATGCTTCCACCTCAAGATTAGTGCCTTAAACCGATAGTTAATAACTACTTTAAAAAATGGATTAAAAAACTTGAAGAGAAGAAAGAGTTGAGATGGACGGCTTAGATCCGGTCAAAAACTGGTCGTGTGGGACGTCTAGGAGGGAGAGAAATAAGCAGATTGGGGGATCAGAATCAGACATTCCACATTTTGCTTTCCTTTGCTCTGCCAATGTTTTTACAAAAGATGACAGTTGGGTTTACCACTTTTGGAGATGGAGTCAAATTCAACAACTGTCCCCTCCAGCTTTGACCCCTTTTTTTTTTTTTCCTTTCTTTTTTCACTGTTGGATTCCAGTTTTCTCTTTTGAAATTACCACTTAAGGGTTCTTTGTGGAGATTTTGGAATCTACTATTGATTCCTTATGACAGAAGGGAGATCTTGTTTAAGTGAACTGTTAGATTCTTTTACAGTTAGGTTTCTAATTAGTGACTAGTCTTGTTTGCTGCGTGAATATGATACATTTGAGATATTAAAGGGTTTCGTTAAAACAAAAACATACTTCGCAAATACATATACAATATATTTATAGATTGAGCAATAAGAATTTTGCAGAATTTGTAATTGTTTTGTCTTTTTTTCTTACTCTTAACAAGTTAAAATCGGTTTGGTGAATTTTTTTTTAACGTGACATGTATCATTTTCGTTAAAAATTAAGATGTCACGGTAATATAGAATACGAGATATACATGTCTCAATAGCATTTCACGATCTAATAGTTGATGGGTAATAATATTAACCGACTATTATAAGACGCATAAATGACGTGTTTTTTCTTTAAATTGAATTGTCACAAATCCTCTTTAGCTTGAAGAGGGTTTTTTTTCTTTTTTCTTTTTTGTTTGTAAGAGGGTATTTAATAATTGAAACAATTCGATGGATGACATGAAAAGCTTTTTTTCTTTGTATTACTCCTTGAATTTATTTCATTCATCAAGCAACTAATTGACCAGCCTTGAAAAGTTGGGAACCTCTAGACCTTGGGG